AGCAGTATCACAACACCAGCCCCTACACTAAGTTTTAAAGGTTAAGAAAGAGCTAGGGTTTTTTTTTTTTAATTTTTTATTTTTTTAAGATTTATTTATTTATTTGAAAGACAAAGTTACAGAGAGAGGTAGAGACAGAGAGGTCTTTCATCCACTGGTTCACTCTCCAGATGGCCACAATGGCCGGAGCTGTGCCGACCCGAGGCCAGGAGCCAGAAGCTTCTTCCGGGTCTCCCATGCGGGTGCAGGGGCCCAAGGACTTGGGCCATCCTCTACTGCTTTCCCAGGCTGTAGCAGAGAGCTGGATCAGAAGAGGAGCAGCCGGGATTAGAACCGCTGCCCATATGGGATGCCTGTGCTTCAGGCCAGGGCTTTAACCCGCTGTGCCACAGCACCGGCCCCAGAGAGCTAGGGTTTTAACTTAGTAACTTTCATAAATATAAACTAATGATGTATTCCAAAAATAAAACTTGTAAATCGTCTTTTCTGTATTTGAAAAGCATCCTCAGGAACCACGCCAGATGTCTGTCGACAGGCGGATGGATAAGCAAAGTGCATCCATTCTCCGCGGGGAGAGGCGGGAGCGGCCGATGCGCAGCACTCGGGGGATTGCTTCCAGAGCGTGCTAAGCGAAGGGAGCCAGACTCTGATTCCATTGCAGTGAAAATTCCGAGACAAAATACAGCCAGAGAGAGCAGATCCATGTTCCCAGGAGGCTGAGGCTGGGGAGGTGACTGACAGACAGCATGGGGTGGGGGTGGAGGGCAGAAAGGCTCTGCGTAACGATGGTTATCATCAGAGGGATACATTGACGAGAGACTCATAACATCGTGCACGTCAAATTGGTGATTATTTATTTGTTTATCTGAGAAGGAAAGAGACATCTGCTGGCTCATGCCCATATGTCTACAACAGCTGGTGCTGGGCTAGGCTAAAGCCAGAAGCCGGGAACTCAAACCAGGTCTCCCCGGTGGGAGGCGGGAATCCAATTACTTGAGCTCTCCCCCTTGCCTTCTAGGGTCTGCATCTGTGGGAAGCTGGAGGCAGGAGCTGGAGCTGTAACTCAAGGCCAGGCACTCTGGTGTGGGACGTGAGCACCTTGGCACACCAGTTGTCCATCCCCACAACTGACAAGTTTTATTGTATGTAAAGTATACCTTAATAATGCAGATTTAAAAAGAAATAATACTATTCTCAAGGTTACCAAAACAGGGTTTGAGGAAGGAAGGAGGCAGGGTCCCTTTGAAGAATGCTGTGGGAAGGGGGGTGGGACCCTCAGGAGAAGGCAGGGAATCAATCACCTTGTTGTCATGGAGCCCGGGAGAGCCGGGCAGGTGGAGAAGCAGAGGGGTCCCCCACTTGAGGTTCTGACTCCATCGAATCAAACCGCGTCACCTGGACTGAGTGAGGCCTCCCCAGCAGGTGGCAACCAGGGCTCAGCTGTGGCCTAGTGTGGACGTTCTCCACCACTGTGTAACAGTTACGGTACACTGAGTGATGTCAACAACCGGCATTTATCCTTTTACACTTTTGCGGCTCTGAGCGTGGCACGGCTGAGCTGCGTTTCCGCTCGGAGTCTCACCAGGCTGCAACCAAGGTGTTACCAGGCTCACCTCGAGCCTCTCTTGGGGCAAAACCCACTTCTTTTCAACTTTTATCTTTACAGAATGGCCATGCATTCACAGAGAGCCCTGGTCCGGGGAGTCCTGTTCATAGGCGGGACCATGATGTCCTGCATTCCCTCCATCTGCCTGCTTTTCACACCCGAGGGGTCTGAAAGCTGAGTGCTGACCACACTCCAGGGTCAGGGGTCATACTCGCAATTCCTCCTGTGGCCTGCAGTTTGCTGTGTAGGGCAGTGAGGCCCAGCTCCTTGCACCTCAGGGCCACATGCTGGGCAGTCGACATGGCAGTGTTCGGTGAGGATCCGCCCGGTCAGCCTCCGCCGACAGCCTGCCAGTTAGATGGTTTCCCTGCCAGAGCAGTCAGTGGCGTGGGCAGAGGCATCGCTGAAAGTTGCAAACATCTAAATCCTAGAGTTGCACGTGCGGAGCTCTTGGTACAGTCCCTGCACGCAGTGGGTGCTCGGGAAGCGCTGGTTCTTGCCGCCTTCTGTCTCCCTGACTGTGGGTGCGCACTCGGGCACTCGGGCTTCCCCTGGGGTCCAAACAGGTTCCGCTGTTTACTGTTTGTCAGACACAGGGGCAGGTGGTTTTTCTTTTTTTCTTTTTTTTTTTCTTCTCTAAGATTTATTTATTTATTTTTTGACAGGCAGATTTAGACAGTGAGAGAGAGAGAGAGACAGAGAGAAAGGTCTTCCTTTCCATTGGTTCACCCTAAATGGTCGCTACGGCCATGTGCTGCGGCTGGGGCACTGCACTGATCCGAAGCCAGGAGCCAGGTGCTTCCTCCTGGTCTCCCATGCAGGTGCAGGGCCCAAGCACTTGGGCCATCCTCCACTGCCTTCCGGGCCACAGCAGAGAGCTGGACTGGAAGAGGGGCAACCAGGACAGAATCTGGCGCCCCAACCGGGACTAGAACCGGGGGGTGCTGGCGTCGCAGGTGAAGGATTAGCCAAGAGAGCCGCAGCGCCGGCCTATTTACTTATTTGAAAGCCAGAGTTACAGAGAGGTAACACTGAGAGAGAGAGGTCTTTCATCCACTGGTTCCCTCCCCAATTGGCTGCAATGGCTGAAGCTGGGCTGATCCGAAGCCAGGAGCCAGGAGCTTCTTCCCAATCTCCCATGCATGTGCAGGCACCTAAGGATTTGGGCCATCTTCCATTGCTTTCCCAGGCCATAGCAGAGAGCTGGATCGGAAGTGGAGCAGCCAGGACTTGAACCGGCACCCATACAGGATGCTGGCACTGCAGGTGGAGTCTTTTTTTTTTTTTTTTTTTAATTTTTGACAGGCAGAGTGGACAGTGAATGAGAGAGAGAGAGAGAAATCTTCCTTTTTTGCCGTTGGTTCACCCTCCAAGGACCGCCACGGCTGCGGCCAGCGCATCGCGCTGAGCCGAAGCCAGGAGCCAGGTGCTTTTCCTGGTATCCCATGCAGGTGCAGGGCCCAAGCACTTGGGCCATCCTCCACTGCCTTCCCGGGCCATAGCAGAGGGCTGGCCTGGAAGAGGGGCAACCGGGACAGAATCCGGCGCCCCAACCGGGACTAGAACCCCATGTGCCGGGGCCGCAGGGCGGAGGAGATTCAGTTTCCTCGTCTACATGATGGACATAGTAAGTTCCACCCTTGCTCCCCAACCAAATCGTTGACAGGCGCACTGGCGCTCACACGCACTTCGTGTGAGCGTGAAAGCCTTGGAAGTGGCCCGGCGCCGTGCCGCGGAAGGATTAGTTCTTTGCGCTGTCGCTGACTGGTTCCTTTGAGTGTTGCTGGAGGCGAAGGCGGTGGGAGCGTCAGGGGTTTTCAGAGGTTGCCACAGAATGTCTGGGGCACCTGGGGTGGGGTGTGGCCGTACCAGACTTCCGGGAGCAGGGCAGTGCCCTCAGGACCGAGCCAAGCCAAGCTTGAAGCGGAACTCTGGGCCCCGGGCAGTGTGGCGGCCAGCCCGCTGTCTGACATTTCTCCGCCCACCACAGTCTTAGTTCTTCGCATCGCTACGTGATCAGACACCTGCTCCGTTTCACCAGCCACTATCGAGTAATTAACAAGGGAGTCGCAGCAGCTCTGTCCACGGGAGAGCAGTCTCCACCAGCAAGACCCACAGCCCCTAACCCTCCCTCAGCTCCGAGAGGAAGGCTGCCCAGGCGGTGCTGATCTCCAGCCATGAAACATCACTGGGATTGTGCTGGAGGAAGCAGCGTGCTCTGCCCGCCGAGGCTGACTCGGACAGGCCTGGGTTGGACTTTTGGCTAGAACTTCACTAAGTGTTGTGAACTTAGGGCGCCTTGAGGGACGACGTGAGCCTCCACTTTCCCTTCTATAAAACGGGGCTACTGACAGCTGAGCCCTGCTGTCCGAGGAGCCTGTGAGGTAACGCAGATCACCTGCTGTCATTAATGGGGTGAACCCACACCCAGTCCTGGCTCACCCCACGGTCTTCCTCCAGAAGGAGGCAAGGAAGCTAGTGTCGCGAGTGTTCCACCAAGCTGTGAATTCCGTCTCCTAAATAAATTATTTCATTCAACTCTTGCCCAGCCCCAGGAGATGGAGTCTTGGTTCAGTGTCCTTATCTGTGAAAGGAGATATTCAAAAAAAAAAAAAACAAAAAAACAAAAAAACAAAACAAAACAAAACAAAAAAACACTGGGCACAGTGTCAGGTGCACAGTTACTCAGTCCACAGCAGCTGCTGCTGCATCATCCCTGCTTTATAGATGAGGAGGTTCAAGTTCAAGGAGGTTGAGTAGCTTGCCCAGAGCCTCACCTCATTCGTAAGGGCCCAGGCCGGCCTCCTCCTGCCCCGTGGCTGAAGGCCTGTGCTCTTCTCGAGCTCTCCTTGATGGAGTGTCCGGGTGTTTGCAGAGCCAGGTCCCTCTGTTGTGTGCATGCGTCTCTTCCCCCTCCCCTGGGATGGCTCCCTCCCATTGCTCCCCACCAATGGCCCTGGAACCACCCTCAGAAGAGGCTCAGAACCCCCGCTGTGGCTCCCAGCCTTCTCAACCCGCTTCTCCACTCTCCTCCCACCAAACTGTCACTCACCTCCCCAGGCCAACAGCATCCTCATCTCCTCTGGCTGCACCAGGCCTGGCTGGCACGGGGCAGACCTCCACGAGCCTGCTGGATCGTCGGGAGCCAAGCCGAGTGCAGAACGATGCCTGCCGGCCGGGCAGCCTACCTGTCTCAGCTGTCAGCATGCACTCCCGGCGATCACACTTGCACTTGACTGGGGCCAGGGCCTGTTCACTGTTTGCAGGAACTTCCAGGTCCTTGGCCCTGGCTCTTACTCTGCTCTCTCCCACCCCTTCCCCACAAAGTGGGCGGGCCAGGAGCTCATCCCTACAGGGGCCCCGTTCCATCCACAGACTCAGGCCAGAAGACGTCTCTCTTTGGCAGTTCATTTATTCAGCAAGACTTATAGAACAGAGACTATGAGCCAAGCACCCTGCTTGGTGCTGGCTGCAGACAGAAGAGCAAACCAGGCATGGTCCTGGCCTCATTGGGCTTACAGCCTAGTACGGGGGACAGTCAACAAAACAAGTTAATACACAAATGGATACACAGGGCAAATTTCCCATGAATGGAAAGAATGGGGGGGGGGCTTTGAGAGAGATCGTTCAAGTACAGTAGTCAGGGAAGGCCTCTCAGAGGAGGTGACATTTAAGGCAAGGCTTAAGAGTCTCAAGGACTCAGGCAGAGAGAAAATAGCATTCTAGGCAAAAGGAAAAGCACATGCACAGTGCTGGAGCAGGAATGTTGAGAAGTGAAGGCAGGCCACAGGGGCAGCAGCACAGGAGCAAGTCTGGAGACAGCTTGGGTTTTGCCTTCATTCTTAAAAAATGCTTTAGAACGTTATTTGAAAGAGTGACAGATGGAGAGGGAGAGACAGAGAGAAAGAGATCTTCCATCTACTGGTTCACTCCCCAAATGGCAAAATGGCTAAGGCTGGGCCAGGTTGAAGCCAGGAGCCCAGAGCTTCATCCAGGTCTCCCACGTGGGTACAGGAGCCTAAGTACTTGGGCCATCTTCCACTGCCTTCCCAAGTGCATGAGCAGGGAGCTCGATCGGAAGTGGAGCAGCTGGGACTTGAACCCGTGCGCTGATAGGGGACGCCAGCTCCTGATTTTACCTTGAGATGAGGCAGAGTCACAGGCAACAGAGGAAGCTTTTTTAAGCAGAGTTGATGCATGATGACATGCACGTGTCCAGTGCTCTCTGGCTGCTGTGGGAACGGACTGGCAAAGCACTGGAGGCCATGCCAGGGCCCTGTAGGGCACCTGATGTGGCCTGACCAGGATGGTGGCTGTGGGTTCAGATGGAAGTGGATGGGCTCCAGAGATGTTTAAGAAGTAGAATCGATCGGAGGTTTCCAGAAGGACTAAAAAGCTTTACTGGATGTCTGCAATGACCCCAATGCTGCGGTGGGAGTCGGCGACTCGGTCTAGTAGGCTTGGGAACAGAAGGGGAAGTGGCGAGGTGTGAGCCCTGGGAACAGCCACTTTGCCCCACAGTGTCTCAGGGGAACCAATCCCGGATCAGCCAAGACACAGGAGGTGCTGGCTCAGGGCTTCCTTATGCGCGTGCGGTCCAGACTCTGGGGCTGGTGTCTGCAGAGGATAGGCTAGGGAGCTGCCGGGACTGCAGCAGTGCCTGGACAACAGGGGGCGCAGGAGAGCAGGACGGAGGAGGACGTCCCCAGCCCTGATGGCACCTTGGGTGGGAGAGTCCACCCTCGGGGGCTCCCAGCCTGAGCTCCTGCCGCTGTCACACATCACTGGCACTGGACCATCTGAGAAGGGGGCAGCAGGAAGAGGAGGGGGAGGAGGAGAGGGAGGAGTCCTTCCTGTCCCGTGTGCTCCTTGGTAAGGAAGGTGAGGTTGGCCTTTGCCTGCTGTCACCTCCTCTGGTCGCCTCTCACTCCTGAGAGCCTGTGTGACTGCCCTGCCCCCCATCTCAGGGTCCCCTGTTCCCCCGCAGTGATCCCTCTGGGAAAAGACGCCCCCTAGAGGAAAGCAGCACTCAGATGGCCTCAGGCCCCTTTCCCATTTCTCTGATAGCAACCCCCCCACCCCCACCCCCGTCTGCTCATTCTACTCCCGAGCCCAGGGCATCTCCTCAATGCCACCTGGGGGGGGGTGTTCTGCGGAAGGGAGAGGGTGGGAGGGCCTCCCTGGGTGACGGCTCCAAGTGAGCACCAGTGAGCTGCTAGGTCACGGGCTGCACGGGGCTGTCAGGTGTGGCCCAGCTGGTGAGGGGCAGGGCACTGGGATGCCCCCAGGGGGAGCAGACATTTACCCATGAGCCCAAAGTGTTGCTGCACTTTTTCAGCTGGCGAGGCCTGCCTGGTCCCATGAGTGCCAGGCCAGTCTGCTGCTCTCCTGGGTGTGGGGCCTGGGCCATTTGTGCCCTCTGCCAGAGGGCGAGAGCTGGCTCATGAAACGGCCCCTGGATAGCGGCTGTGTGGAATCCTGGCAGAGCGGGATCTCAGGCCCTCGACCCATGGGTGACCCTGCAGCGCTGAGCCGCCTCTGGTTGTCCTTCCTCCTGCCTGCTTGTGGTTATTTTTGTCCATCCCGACGGCCCTTGGCCGTTCCAGCAGTCTGGGCTCTGGGAGCCGGATGCAAGCCACACGGTGCAGATGTCTGGTGCTGAGTCCCTGGAGGATTCTTCTCTGGGTGCCATCACGTGGGGCCATGGCCCTTGCCCACTGTTCACCCGCCGGGAGGGACCACATGCCTGGAGGATGGTGACAGGAGGGGCAGGAAGCTCAACCCGGGCTTGCCTGGGAATGCTGTCTGAGGCCTGGGGGTTAGGCCGCTCTGTCTCAGTTTCGCTACTGTCCCCAAAGCTCCAGGGGCTTGTCGGATCAGCAGTGTGCTGCAGAGGGTGGTGCCTGCAGCCCGGGCCTCCAGTCTTCACACCATGGCTGTGGGGTCCGAGAAGGTGTCTGTCCTGTGGTCAGTGCCATGGAGCAGGCCACAGGCAGGCAGGGGCACAGAGGGCTCCCTGGGAACTTCTTGGTGGTTCCTGCTGAATTACTGTCTCCAGGAAATGAGGCAGTCATCGTGTTCTGGCCCCCAGGGGGCAGGCTGCAGCCAGCCAGTCATTGTCCCTAATGGGGCCTGTCCTTTCTGTAGAAGCCACCTGCCTCGGCCCTGGTAGCTGAAGCTTCGTTCCCAGAGCCAAGAGTCATGCCTGCTGCCCCATGTGTTCCGGGCAAGAGAGGGCTCTGGGTACTGCCCTGAGGGGCTCTTCCAAGATTCATCCATGCAGGTGAGAACCCGGACTGAGGGTCAAGACCAGAACAGCTCCAGCACGGCTGGGCGGACGAGCCGGGAAAGGCAGAGAGGAGGCGAGGCAGACGGAAGGAGGGCGTCTTCCCACAGGGGCCAGTCTGGGGAGCCATGCAGAAAAGGCTGTGCGTTTTTACAGCTCCTGGAGAAAGACTCTCCCTCACTTCTGGCTGGGGGCCTTGGGGGGCGGGGCGGGGCACCAGCTCAGAAAGCCCCAATTTCTGTGATTTCGGAGACCCAGGAGCGGTAGCGCACGGCTCCCACAGGCCTTCCAGCCGGCCCCAGGGAAGATGGGCTGGGCTCCGAAACAGCCACGTGAGAAGCAGACCCCACAGCGTCAGGGGATGTGGGGGAGGAGGAGCGCGGGAGGGGAGCCGCGTGGGTGCTCCTGGCAGCTCTGCTGCTGGGGCCTGCGGGGACAGGGGCGGCTGGCCTCTCCAGGGCGTGGGCCCTCCGGGCGGACAACGCCCCGCGACTGGGCAGCATATGCCTCCGGGCCGGCAGGATGGTGCCAGCGGCTCTGCGCACGGGAGTGGTTCGGAGGCTGGAGATGGGGTAGGCGGGAGAGGAGGCGCTGGGGAGGATGGTGCCGGGCACTCTTCCCAGGATGGCAAGCTGACTGCTCAGGGCCGGCAGCCCTGGGCAGCTATGGAAGAAGGACCAGGGCCAGGCAGGGAAGGCTAGTGGGCCAGCAGGCATGGGCGACGGCTCCATCTCAGCTGCGTAGCTGTTGAGGTGCGACAGAAGGCGAATCCGGACGGGGTCTGCACGGCTGCTGGGCCCTTCCAGGACCCCCAGGTACCTGATGACCTCGGTGAGGCACTCCCGAAATCCAATGCTCCGGAAGTCGATGGCCAGGGCTCGGGCGTCGAAGAATCCTGCAGAGTGAGGGACAGCGAGGGGATGCGGGTGGAGGGCGGAGCACCGAGCCTGGAGTCAGACTGGGTTCTGGACCTGCTCCACCCCAGTGCCTGCATGACCTTGGGAATGTTCCCTCCCTCACTGAGCTCCAGTCTCTCCGTCTAAGAGGCGGGAAGGAAGTCCCCCAGCTAGGATGAGAGGTGGTGGGTTGCTAGAGTCAAAAGTGAGCTCAGTCAGCCTAGAAGCACGGCACACTGGATCGTTTTCATCACAACCCAGGATTAACGCAAAGAGGAGACTTCGTGGCCAAGATGACTTGATTAAGTAGACCCTCGCCAGGTGTGAAAAGGCTGAGCAGGTGGAGGTGCTGGGACAGACCTGCCCTGCTGATGGGGGCAGGTTCAGGGAGGGGAGGTGGCCGCTACAGCCAGCAGAGCTGGGAGGTCTCTCACAGAAGGCTACAGAGTGCAGCAGTGAGCCAGACATCTTCGGAAGCCAGCAGAGCTGGGTTCGAATCCCGACTCTGTCACTTAACAAGCAGACTGGCCATGGACAACTCTCTTCATCAATTGGCCTCAATTCCCTTAGCTGTAAATGGGGTTATGGCAGCACCTGCTGCACGGAGCTGAGAGGGTGAAATGAATGCAAGGGTACTCAGCAAATGCTCAATGGACTCTTGTTGTCACTTATGTTACTGGTATGGCTGCTGCTGGTAACCCCTGTTCAAAAGACAGGCTAGAAAGCAAGACCCCACCCTGGTCCTCCACTGCTGCCACCAGCCAGGGGCCTGCGCTTGGACCTGATGTCAGCAGGTGACAACCAGGTGGACTGCCCACACGGGTACTCAGAGCTAACTGCTGCTCCGCACCTGCCCCTCTCTCCATCACCGGGCCAGCACGGACTCTGTGATTATGACAGCAAATAGCTGGTTCTGGCGCTCAGCTGAGGCCCCCATGGGGGGACAGCTTGGCAGGTGACCGCGTTTGGAGTCAGGCCATCTTACTGGTGAGCCCTTGCTCTGCTGGGTCCTTAGTCACATGACTTCAAGCAAATCCATTTCCCTTTCTGTGCTTGCTGAGTTCTTACTGAGTAATTAATTGCATTATATGATTTACTCCTCATAAAACCCTCTTATTATTTCCTTTTCAGAGATGATGTAATCGAAGAATAGAGATGTTAAATGATTTGTCCAAAGCCATAGAGTCAGTAAATACAGCCAGGATTCAAATCTAAAGCCTGCGCTCCAAACCACAATCCCCTGCCTTCCTATTGGCCCTGGTGACAACCGCCCCCTTCCAGGTTGTTGTGAGATTGTAAATGAAAGCATTCTGAAGACTGAAATGCCACCCACATGGTAATCACTACATGTCTCTTAATAGGATCACCACGAATTAATCTGAAATCCCCCCTCCCGTCTCCACTATTAGCAACGCATTCCTTTAGCAGAAGTTTTCCAAAGGGCCACCAGCATCAGAATTCTCAGGCCCAGGACGCTACCTGTCCCCAGGTGGCTGCACACTGAGGCTTGAGACACATCTGGTTGAGCTACTTAAATTGTACCTGTCAGGGCAGACATTTGGCACAGCAATTAAGATGCCACCTGCAATCCATATCAGAGTGCCTGGGTTCAAGTTTCAGCTCCACTCTCAATACCGGCTTCCTGGTAACGTGCACCTTGGGAGGCAGCAGGTGATGGCTCAGGAATTTGGGTTCCTGACACCCTCATGGGAGACCCAGGTTGAGTTCCAGGCTCCTGGCTTAATCTTGGCCCAGCTCAGCTGTTGCTGTTATATTTGGGAGTGAACCAGCAGATGGGAGATATCTCTCTCTCCTTGCCTTTCCAATCAAAAATAAATTAAAGCCTCGGAAATAATGAAGAATAAGAACTGTAGCACCTGGGTCTCTGTGGCAAAGGTCTGTGGCGCTTTCAGGGTTTCCCGGTTGTGAAATCATCAAACACACAGAGAAGCTTCATGCAGACAGAATTTCTGTTTGTCTGGAAGACTTTTTAGCGCCAGGGTGCCTTGAGGCAGGGACCACACCTACTTAGCTCCAGGCCGACTCCCCCCACCCCTTGCACCTGTCATTCAAACAACCGCAGCGTGAGAAGAGCACGGGTACCTGTCCCGCCAGTGGCGTGCAGCATTTTCAAGTGATCCACCGTCATCTGCAAGACCTCGGCCTTCTCCAGCTTGGAAGAGCCCTGCGTGGACGGAGGCAGAAGAGCAAAGGGTCAGGCTGATCTCTGGCACTCACCTCCCCTGCCCGTCATCACTGGCATGCACTGTCTCCATTTTCTCAGCTTCTTCCCACTCTGCCGCCGCCTGCAACTGAGCTCCTGCATGGCCAATGCCTCCAAATCTGCAGGATTCTCTTTGGCTCGCGTCTTGGTCCACCTGCCCCCTGGACTGCTAACTGGCCTCCCTGACACCCTCTGCTCCCTAGGCTGCCAACAACACCACTTCTGGGTCCCCCTTTCAGCTTACCTCTTGCTCTGCCTGTCCCTGACCACAGCGGTGCTCCCAGTGGGGGTTGGCCCACGTCTCACTCTGCCTGCTCTGCCCATGGAGCACGCCTACCTCCCTGGCTTCGCCCACCATCACCTGAATGCCATGCGTGCACACCCACTCGCCTCCTGGACCAGCTCTCTGGAGAGTTCAGCCTCAGACTCAGCATGCCCATCATCTAGCTCAGCACCTGACAGGGAGGCTCCTGTTCTTCCTCTTCTCCCCTCCCCCCCACCCCTCCACGTTTCCTAAGCCTCCTGGGTCACGTGGGGATCAGACCCCTCTGTGAGCCCCTGGAGGGCAGACACCAGGTCTAGTTCAGGGCTGGTCCTGGAAGGCTGTGGTGATCACGTGTAGAATGACTTGTTCTCACCAGCATCTGGGAAGGCAGATGACCTGTGACCTCTGGAGCACAGGGTGAGACTCTCCGAGGCCCTCTGACCCCCCACTGTGGCCCCTTTCCTGAGCACGGGTGATGACGCCGTGCCCGGTCCTGGGGAAGCCTGTCCCGGGCTTTCCATAGAACTCTGGACCCCACGGCTCTGGGCTCCAGTTCTGCTGTGCTATCTGCTCTGCTGTGTGCTGTGGCCTAAGTGACTTCACTTCTCTGGGCTTCCGTCGCCTTCCCTGTGCAGTGGGTGTGCTAATTCAGAGTCACGCTGAACATTCAGTTCAATAGAAAGACGGCCATAAAGTCACAAGCCCTGAACACCTCCCTAAGTACAAATTCTCATTCCTCCTTATCCCTGAGCTGGCGATGATATTAAGCACACGACAACACCACAGGCAGCTGCAACTTTATCTGCCCCTTCTCAGCACATCCTGCGGCACCATCGGCCCCCACACATACCTGCTTCTCGAACGCGGTGGGCACCAAGCGCCTCAACTCAGACAGGCTGCTGTTGATGCGGTCTCGGCGCCGTTTCTCTATGATCTGAAAAGTACAGACGAGGCTGTTACCAGCAGGTGCTTCGTCACGCTTGCTTGTTTCACATCAACACATCTTGTCCCTCGTCATACTTTCGTGGGGGAGGGGAGCCTATTCTTACTTTACGAAAGCGGAAACCGCGCTCAGGGCGGCGGACTGTGATTTGCTCACAGCCACAATGCAAGAAAACCCAGAGCTGGAAGCAGAACGCCGATCTTTAGTCTTGGTCTGTGCCACATTTCACCAGCGGCACAGCCGGGCACCAACCAATCAGAATGCAGACACAAGTCCCAGTGCTGGGCAGGCCCCAGAGGCTGCTGCTGGGCCAGGGTCACCCCTTCTGTTGCTGGGTCCCGGGGAGGCCTGGGGTGTCCTAGGTACTGCTTTGTCCGGCTGTAGGCCTCTTGTTCACAGTCTTCTCCCACTCACAGCACCATAAGAGAATACTGAGGCCAGGGCAGAAATTATGAGCCCATTTTACAGATAAAGAAAATGAGGGTTGGAAGGATGTGGTTTGCCAAGGGCTTCTGGCTGGTCTCTGCCAGGTTCCAGGTCTCTGGGCTCCCAGGACAGAGGCACAAGTGCATGCCGGGGGGAGTGGGGCAGGATGGATGGATAGCAGGAAGCTGGGAGGCATCCTTTTGTCCCCTCCTGTCCAAAGAGACAGAAGCTGCGGAGGGGGTGGTGTTGGGCACTGATCACTGATTCTCAGAACAGCCCTTCCTGGTCGTCCAGGCACCATGCAGGTACACAGGTAAGAAGATGGCACAGACAGGTGCAGCGGCTTGCTCCAAGTCACCCTGATAGCTGCCCGTGGAGCTGGGATTTGAACCCAGGCAGTTTAGCTTCCGAGTCATATTTCTGACCAGTCTCCCACCCCAGGGCGGGGGGTTCAGGACAACCCTCTGTGGGGATACTCACCCCTCGGCGCTTCTTCCTGGCTTGCATCTGCGAAGGGCTGGGGGTGGACAGCGGCCTGGCCATCTGGCTGCAGGGGAAAGAAAGGCTAGCTTTTCAGAGCTGGGGGACCATCCTGCTGGCCTGGGCTGACCTCTGAGGCCGGGCTGTGGGCAGACTTGGCCTCCGTTGTCTCCCAGGCCTGGGGGAACTGCAGGGCGGCATGGGAGGGGTGCTGCTCCCTCTCTCCCCTCCTCTGAGCTCCCAGTGTCCCGCCTCCGAGTCCCTCAGGGGCTTTTGCTCTTGGCCCTGACCTGCTAGACCTTGCCCCTCGCCCCTTGGGCTGCTTTGGGGGAGCCGTGATCCGCCTGCGGCCTGGCCGACTCCTGCAACCCGATCCCCAGGGGCGGGGCAGCCGAGGGCACGGGCGGCCGGGCTGGGCCGGGCAGCTTGGGTTTCAGAGGGAGCCGCTGGGAACGAGCGTGGAAAGAGCAGATGCCGCCGCTTCCCACGGGCCGGGTGCGCCGGCCGCCCGCCCTCCGCCTGTCCTGCAGCTGCCGCCTCCTCCCACGCGGCGCGGCCGGAGGCGAGGGGGGGGCAGCATCTGGGTCCCAGGCCCCTCTCTCAGGCTGGGGACACTGCCCTGGCCTCCCAGAAGGCTCCTGTCCCCATAATGCCGGCCTTGGCTTCCTCCCGGGCTTTCCCTCTGCAGCCCTGGCTGAAGGAGGGATGTCTGCCCACAGCCCAGGGGCTCAGTCTCAGGACTTGGCTGCCCAGACTTGGGCCCAAATCATCTTGGGCCCAACTGCTCCCCCTCTCAGCAGTTTTCTGCTCTGGAGGGGCCCTTGGAAAGAAGAGGTTGGCAGGGTGGCATGGAGGTGTCATCCTTCAGGTAGCCAGCACTTGGGAGTCACTAATTCAGGTCCCTGGCAGGTGCCAGGTGCCCTTGGCCACGCCCCAGCCCTCAGTCACTCAACTCCCTGTAGTCACTGTGGAGACAACTTTATTCACGGTGACTTCTCTGCCATTATGGAATGCAAGCAGCCACATACCTGAGCAGGAAACCAAGAGCCTGCCCCCATCCCCACACCTGCTCCTTGTCCCCTGGGTCTCCAGCTCAGGGAAGGCACCCGCAGATTCCAGCTCTGCAAGGCAGAAACCTGGCACCATCTTTGCCTCCTCCTGTGCCCTCACCTCCACTTCATCAAAACACGACCCAGGCCCCCCTCAGACCACGCCTCTCCACGCAGCCCGTCACCTGGTTCCTCCTCTCCCTGCTGCAGGTCTGCAGGCAGAGTAGACATTTCCAGGCAAATCTGATCTGACCATTCTTTTAGAATTCCTCAGTCCACTTCCCAGGGCTTTTAGGATCAAGGTCACTGCTTTGGGCCCTGTCACCTTTTAGATTTTACTCTCTTGCTCTGCACGCTGCAGCCTACTGAATGCATTAACTCCTTGCTGCTGTTGCACACACTGTTCCCCAGCCTAGAATTCTCCAGCCCACCCACCCCATCTCCCTAGCCCTAGTAACCTCTGCCATCCTTCAACTCAAACATCACCTCCCAAGGGAAGCTTTTCTGACAACCCCCTCCTACAAGGCGTCCCTTGCTATATACTCTCCTAGCAACCTACACGCACAGCATGTATGCCAGCTGGTTTACATGTATGTGATTATTTGGTTAATGTGTATTTCGCCGACAAACCCCAAAGCTCCATGAGCCCGTGAACCCTTTGTGCTCCAACCACCATCACAGCCCCAGGACTCAGCGAGGGCTTGAACACAGCAGAGCTCATGGTAGTGCTTCCCCCTCCAGCCCTGGTTTTGGGCATTACTGGGGAGCAGGGAGGTGGGCACCACCCAGTCTGCGTCCTGGGGCTCTGTGGAAGGGAGCTTCTGTGGCTCACAAGGAGGGGTCCAGCCCGGGTGACATCCCCTTGGCATTGGTGGTTGGATCCTTTTCACCAGCTGCTCAGAGAGGATGTTGTAGGAGAGACCAAATAGCATGCGTCAGATCCCACTGCCATGCTCCTGGCTTTGGCCACATCTGGAAAAGGATACCTCTCATCCAAACATCTGGGCAAGCAGGGCTGGTAAGAGGCCTGGGAGGCCTCCTGGGAGGCCCAGGGCTCTGCCAGTCAGACCCTGGGACCTGTAGGGCAGCTTGTTTATCAAGCATCCCTGGTTCCCTGGGGACAGGCCCCAGGAGCCAAGGTACACTAAGAAACAGGGCCTTTGTTCTTCCCCAGAGATAAAGCGCTCTCGGGTATTGGGTTAGCCTTGTGCACGTCCCTGCCCCTCAGCCTGAGCCCTCCTCAGGGACCATCTGGCAGGGCCTGGCTCACCCATTTCAGGGCAAGGCAGCTCTGCCATCCCTTTCTCTTCTGGTTAGCTTTCTTCCCTGCAGTATCATCTGCCCCCTCCCCTGTATCTCACAGGCAAACCTCACTTCACAGTTTTCTGGAGGCCACTCCATAGATCCCCCCCCCCCCCCGGACCCTTAACAAAAGCCCCATTTTACAGATGAGGACGCTGAGCCCCACCCCAGGGAGCGAAAGAAGCTTGCCCAGCCTTTACAGCTGCTAAGGAGCGAAGCCAGCCTGGGAATCTGTGTCTTCTGGCTCCACATTCAGCATTGTTTTCCCTCCTAATTCCTACTTCCTGTCTGTCTGAATAGCCCTCCAGTCCCCTAGCCTCAAAGCTCCCAAGAGCACAGCCGCCGGAGCTGCTCCCAGCCCAGGATCTGCCCTGGCAGCAGAAGGAGGTGTGGGAATGAGGCAGATTTTCACGAGCCCAGAGAAGAGAGGTTCACTTCCCAGATCCACTTCATGGGCCTCCAGCGGCCCCTCTCGAGAATTCCAGGGTGGTCTCTTGGTGGGGAGGCAGCTTTCCAGGTGGTCTCACTGCCAGTCCTGACCACCCTCAGTGCTGACACTACCCCACCCCCCACCCCCGGCTGGAACTCCCACGGAACCTTTGCAGATGACCTTGCTCATCTCACATGGACCCAAGGCAGGGTCACAATGTCCCAAATGTAGGGATCTCAGAGAGCACCGGGCCTACGTGTAAACTGAGAAAACGCATCGAGGGGAAGGGATGTCCCCCTGGCCACAAAGTAAATAAAAGGCAAATTAAGGCTCAAAGCCAAGTCCGGAGGCTTTCGATCCAGTGCAGTGTGTTCCAGACCACACTTCCATATCCATCTTTCTCACTTATTTCAAGAGAAGTGCTATTTGGACCATTTCACATTTAGGAAACAGCGAGGTGACAGACACAGGGCTTAAGAATCATACCTGGGGGCCAGCGCTGTGCAGCAGGTTAAAGCCCTGGCCTGATATGCCGGTGTCCCATATGGGCACCGGTTTGAATCCCAGCTGCTCCACTTTTTTTTTTTTTAAGATTTTTATTTATTTATTTGACAGGTAGAGTTACAGACAGTGAGAGAGAGACAGAGAGAAAGGTCTTCCTTCCATTGGTTCACTCCCCAAATGGCCGCAAGCACTGGAGCTATGCCGATCGGAAGCCAGGAGCCAGGAGCTTCCCCCAGCCTCCCATGCAGATGCAGAGGCCCAAGCACTTGGGCCATCCTCCACTGCCCTCCTGGGCCATAGCAGAGAGCTGGACTGGAAGAGCAGCAACCAGGACTAGAACTTGCTGCCGATATGGGATGCCGATGCCACAGGCACAGGATTAATCTAGTGCGCCACTGTGCCAGCCCCGCTGCTCCACTTCTGATCCAGCTCTCTGCTATGGCCTGGGAAAACAGTGGAAAATGGACCAAGCGCTAGGGCCCCTATACCCTTGTGGGAGACCCGGAAGAAGCTCCTGGCTCCTGGATTTAAATTGGTCCAGCTCAGGCCATTGTGGCCATTTGGGGAGTAAAGCAGAAGATTTCTCTCTCTCTCTCTCTCTCTCTCTCTAAGTCTACCTCTCAAATAAATAAATCTTTTATAAAATCACACCCAGTAATGAAACTTTCATATGTCCAGTCTTTTCATCAGACCAGGCACACAGTCTCATGCCCATGGTACCCCCCTACCTGAATGGTGTCCCCTAAGATGGCAGCTTTTGTTGGAAGTCGCCTTGTGCCAAGGCAAGGAGCTGTGTGTTCTGCATGTTATGACCTCATCAAAGCTCACCCTGTTAAGCAAGAGATTCTACAAGAGAGAAAACTGGGGTTCAATAGGGGGTAAGGTCACTTGCCTAAGTAAACAGCAGTGAGAGTCAAAGTCAGGTCCATGTGACTTCAAAGGCCATTGTGCACTGTGAGTGGTGTAGGTAGGACCCACAGACCCTGAACTGGAGTCAGACATGTGGCAGGTGCTCATTAAGGGTTTGCAGAGGAGCAGGGGAGAGGTAGACGCTGGGTCTGGACCCAGCACGTCACAGCCAGGGCCCCTGGGGGAGATTCCCACAGATGGGGCTGGATCCGGCCATGAGGAAGATGTCCACCCTGCTCTTCACTCTCACGTCTCTGAGTATAGGGATTTGCACCTGCCTCTGACCCTGGGTGGGGAGGGAGCTTGCTGGGCCCACCCTGCGGCCCTTGTCACTGCTTTGCTGTCTTTCTTTGTATGTCAAGTTCTTCTTCCCTGAGGGCAGAGGCCACGCAGGATACATCTGGGCCCCTCCATGCAGCCCAGGGTCAGGCCGCAGCAGGCATCGTTCAGCACACCCTGAATTGAAAGCATTGATGTCTGCTGGGGGGAGGGCCCTCTGGGGATTGCCACAAAGAGGCATCTATAAGTCAGCCTCTGCCAGATGTCCAATGCTTCCCCTCCTCGGCGGGGTCTGCCTCTCTAAGCACGCTCTCTGAAAATGGGCTCTGGCAGACATGACAAAATGCTGTACGGGCAAGAAAACTCACGGAGTCTTTACAGCTTGGTTCCAATGCCACCACCTGCAACAAGCCCACCTTGCCATGCTTAGCTTTGAGTGACCCTCTCCCCGCCAGGTGTCCTCACAGCCCACAGTCTGTCCCTCCTTCCATCCTGTCCCTGGCTTTTGTATGACCTGGCAGGTTACTGAGGCTGCAAACCTGCAGAGGACAGAAGCCAGCTCTGATCAGTCCAGCTCTCTGCCACCGGCTTTGGGCCTCTCATATATGAAGACCCAATGTCCACTGAGTCAGGGACGCTCCCCTTCTCCCCACCCCCAGGGTGCTAGATTCTTTCCTGCCCTTGATGGGCACTGATTCAGAGAACTGCTTATCTAAATAGCAGTTTTTTCTTTCTTTCTTTCTTTCTTTCTTTCTTTCTTTCTTTCTTTCTTTCTTTCTTTCTTTCTTTCTTTCTTTCTTTCTTTCTTTCTCTCTTTCTTTCTCTCTTTCTTTCTCTCTTTCTTTCTCTTTCTTTCTCTTTCTTTCTTTCTTTCTTTCTCTCTTTCAAAAAAATTTGTTTATTTTGAAAGTCAGTTTCAGAGAGCGAGACAGAAAGATCTTCCCTTCACCAGTTCACACCCCATATAGCTGCAATGGCTAGCTCTGGGTCAGGCTGAAGCCTGAAACCCGGAGCTTCATCTGGGTCTCCCATGCAGGTAGCAGTGGCTTAAGCACTTGGACCATCTTCTGCTGCCTTCCCAGGCCACCAGCAGGGAGCTGGATAGGTAGTGAAGTAGTCGGGACACAAACTGGTGCCCATATGGCATGCCAGCATCACAGGGGGTGGCTCAACCCACTACGCCACAATACTGGTCCCCTAAATAGCAGTTTCTGATAAACTATTTTTAAAAGGCTAATATGTTGCATAAGAAATTGTATCATATATCCCAACACCTAAGGTAGAGGACATAAGAAGGATTTATTGCCCTTCACCGTATTATAAGGTATAATTGGCAGTTGGTGGCATTTTACTAGAATTTGGGATTGAAGTAGGATCCTCTGGTCACAGAAAACTGAGAGTTGTGGCATAGCGGGTTAAGCTGATGCCTTGGCACACTGGCAGCCCACATGAGTGCTGGTTCAAGTCCTGGCCGCTGTGGTCTAGTTCCTTGATAATACGCCTGGGAAAGCAGCAGATGATGACCCAAGTACCTGGGCCCCTACAGCCACATGGGAGACCCAGAAGGAGTTCCAGGCTCTTGGCTTCTGCCAGTGAACAATCAGATGAAAGATCTCTGTCTTTCTCTGCCTCACCCTCTCTCTGTAACTCTGCCTTTCACATAAATAAATAAATCTTTAAAAACAAACAAAAAAGAAAACAGTGCTGAAATTATTGAAATGCCCTCAAAATGCCCCTAAGAATGCACCGAATCACCCTTTAATTCTTTCCTAGAGAGTCAGCTCTGGATCAGCCAAGCCTTCCCCTCCCCACCCCTGTTCTCCTGTACCGCACTGATGTGCAAACAGGCTTCAACAGGGAAACCAATCGCTCAAGGCCACATGGTGAGTTGGTGGCAGACTGGGGCAGGGACCCTGGCCTGTGGACTCCCAGTCAGTCCCCACAGCTCTTTCAGGGACGTATGCCTCACACTAAGGCCTGTGCTAAGCCCTAGACATAACATCATCTCACTTGATCGTACCAACCCGCCTATGAAGTCGACTCTATTATTTATACCCATCGTACAGTCGAGGAAATGGAAGCTTAGAGAGTTCACAGAGCCAGGAGGCAGGCAAACTTCGCAAGTGCAATCTGTTCTATAGACTTGAGGCAGGTCAGAATATTGGCCAAAGGCTGAACGACTTGGGCAGTGGAGTGAGAAGTAGAAACAGCACTGGAATCGGAATCGAAGCCCTCATAAGTCAGTTACTATTTTCTTCAGTACCAAACGCCAAACTCCAAAGTCCAATTCTGCTCAGAGGAGGCCAGACTCCTCCTGAAGCTTTTTGTGGGCTGAAGGAGCACTGGACCCAAGCGAGAGAAAGGATGGTTACTCTGCAGTCAGCAGACTCCGGACAGAGGGTGCGGTACCCAAGCCTGTGATGGTTTCAGCAAAACTGCTCACCGGTGCGCTCCACCTGAGGGACCCATCCCACCGGCCATCGGAGCGCCCGAGTGGACTCCGCCTGGGTCCAGGCATCTCCAGAGCGCACCAGGACCCTGGGCACGTGGGCGGCCCGCGGCCCAGCCCGCCCCCACCCCTACACGCCGACACCTGCGGGCCGCCGCGCACACCTGCGCCTCCCTCTCAGCTCGCCCCTCGGCGCCGACGGCCGCCCCAGCTCGACCCTTACCTCAGCTCGCTTTCGCGGCCCACGTCGATGGGGCCGTCGGACTCGCCGTCCGAGCCGCTCGGCTGCCGGGGTCGCTTCATGGCGAGCGCAGGCTGCCGGGTCCCAGCCCCGCGGCGGCTGCGGCGGCGGCTCCCAGTCCGCCAGTCGGGCTCCGCCCCGGCCCGCCCCGGCCCCGCCCCGGGGCGCCGCCACCGCCCTTTCCCAGGGCCCTTTCCTGCGCCGCAGCCCCGGGCGCCCCGGCGCCCCCGCGCCCCCGCGGTGACGCGCCGCCGAGCCGTGGGAAGGCCGCGGGCGGTCGCCGCCCCCACCGGCGGCTGGGAGGTCCGGCTCCGCTCCGCCGCCGCGGCCGCCGCTCTCTGGGTGGCCTTGGGCAGGTGCCCTGGGAGGCCCCGTGGCCAAGGCCAGGGATCCCCGCTTGTCCCTAGTTGGCCCGGTGCTTTCTGGCCTCCTGTAGTTCCGGCGGCAGCCGACACGTTTGGTTTTGCAAAGCTGATGGGGGTGACTGTGGCCTGACCCCTGGAGAATTCCCCAGCAGCTCTCCCCAGGGGCCCAAAGCCGGTAGAGGGACTGCAGAAGCTGTGGCCAGGGCTCCCTAGGGGCCTGACTTGGGGGGAGGGCGGTGTGGTGGCTGTGGTGGGAGTGGTTGGTGGAGAATCCCTGGAATCAGTTCCCAGTTGGACAAAGACACAGCTGTCCTGGGAGGCCAAGAGCCCAAGAAGAGGGTTCTTCCAGAAGTCAAGGCAAGGCCTCTTAACGGGAGCCTGGGAGAGGGGCACCCTACCCCATACCCAGCAGATCAGGCTGCTGGCACAGGCAGGGACCCTGCTGCCCCTCCCCTGGGAAAGGGGCTTCAGCAGGTCCTGAGATGCACCTGCCATCCTCAGGGGCCAGTGGTACCCCAGAGAATCCCCCAGGGCACAGAAGGGAGCGTCCTGGCAGGTGGACTTCTTGGCAGGGAGATGGTGAAGGGGGCGTTGGTGTGCTGGGGCAGAGGTCAGAGAAGGCTCTTCCCTTGCACCACCCATCGGGACGGACAGACGGAAGCCGCTCTCAAGTTGGGGGGTGCAGTTGGTCGGCTGAGGGTAACCACATTCTCGCCTCCACAGTATGACCTGCTGGGGACGCTTGATTTCTTGGTGCCTCCTTCCACACAAGTCCACAGATAACCAGTTGGCCAAATACCCAAACCCACACGTGCAGACAGACCTCGGACACACGTGGAGACATAGCTGACACAGTAGCGCGTATCAGGAATCCCTGGTGGTCATCCAGCAACACCTACAGCCTCTCTTAGTCCAAATGCCCTCAGCGCTCGTGGACCTTCTGTAGGCACCTGCCCATGCAGTGGAAACCCCAACCAATGCAGAAGTTGCACGGTCCCTGACACCTTCCTGGTGAAGGCTGCCTGAGACAGCCAGAGCAGGTTTGCAGAAGACAGCCAAGGCCTCCATGGTGGATATGTTCATATAAGATGTCCTGGAGTATCTAGATATGGTGTACACTTCAACAGGGGCCTCTGGAGTTCTGAAACGAGGTCTATGCTGCACATTTAAGTTTGGAAGTCTTTAAGCAGTAGATGACATTTAAAGCTATGGGAGCAGATGAGATCACCCTGAAAAGTGTGGATGGAGACAGAGGAGGGGCACAAGCAGATGTTTCACATTTAGCAAGTGCTTATTATACTGCCTGAAACTGTCCTAAGTGTTTTGTAAATATTAACGCATGTAATCTTCTGCAGCCTGTCAAGTGGTAATATAATTATCATCCCCTTTTATAAATGAGAAAGACAGGCATGGAGGGATGCAGTAACTCAAGCCAGGTCAGCAGGTCGTAAATGGAAGGGCTGGAGCTCCACAGGGCTGTTTGGTTTCAGAGCCAATCCATTAGGCTTTATTGCCTCATGGAGCCCTTAAACACTGGGCTCTTCTATCCAAGACGGAGCCCACAGCCGTCCAGCACACAGCAGGCATGAGCCACACATGCGGCTGGCTGGAGCTGCTGAGGGCAGTAGGCTGAAATGCATACCAGAGTCTTTAAAGAAGTGAAGCACTGCATGGATTTTTTTTAAAAAGTGTGGTTACTACAACACTTTTGATGTATTTGTGGCACCCGTGGTATTTCCGCCAGGCGGTGCTAATCTGGTGAAAGGCTTCTTCACTTGTAACTGTTGACATTTGGGGCTGGGTAAGTCTATTGTGTGGGCTGTTCCGTGGACTGTAGGGTGTTTGGCATCATCCCTGGCCTCTACCCACTCAATGCGGGTAGCACCTGCCCCACTCATGGCCACAGAAATATCTCTAGAAAATGTCAGATGTCCCTTGGGGCAGAAATCGTCCCTGGTTGAGAACCACACGTCTCTGTGATTTATGGGGTGAATGGAAGAGAAGGAACAGTCATAAAGAAGATCGAAAGGAAACAGCCAGGCAGATGGAGGAGAACCAAGTGGAGGTGTGGCAGGAGCCAGAAGGTGTTTCAGGGACTCTGTCATGAGCCTTTTAAAATGTCCATTAGATCGTGTCTGCGCCTGCTCAAAACTGCCCTAGGCTTCGCACCACATTTGGAATAAAACACTGCGTATGGCTGCTGGTGCACAAGGTGACTAGATAGCTTATCATCTAAGCCTGGGGGCAGCCTTGAGTGGGAAAAGCAGGCGATAGTAATAAGTACTCTGGGACAGTGCAGGCCACGCTGGATGTGTGGCTGCTGTAAGCTCTGGCCCCTGCCCGTCTCTCCACTTCGTTGCCAACCACTTTGTTCCTGGCTCACTCGGCTGCTCAAGCTTCTTGCATTCTCCTGACATTCCCTCTTGTTCCTGCCTCGGGGGTTTGCATTTGCATCTCCTCCCCCAGATCTTCAGTACAGTCACATCTTTGCTCAAACGTCACATCTTCAGGGAGAGCTGTCCAAAATAGCCTCCAGTCTGCCGGTCGCTCTCTGCCCCAACCTCTCGGTCTCACTCCCCAGGTGTTACATGAGATGATCATCGATGCTTCATGAGATCTGTGCACGGAGTCTCTTCTGCCCACTCGCTGGCTCCTCGAACGTGCCTGGCATGTACTAGATGCACAAATACTACTTGCTGGGGAGCAAATTCCTGGCAGAAACTTGGCTGAGGAGGGAGAGTAGGTAGGACAACAGCTGGGGACATGTGGAGCCCAGGGTGCCTTTGCGTTTGCCTTGTTCTGGGATGGGAGAGGGCAGAGCAAGCAGAAGGGAGCGGAAACACTCACTCCATGGGACCTCTATGAAGAGCTTTTCTCAGTAGCCATCCTTGTGTTCCTTATTATCCAGCACGGTGCCTAGCACATAGAAGGCATTCTAAAATGTTGGCCAAGCAGATAAATAATAATGCCCTTAGCATGTGCTAGGCCCTGTACTAAGTAATTTTTTTTTAAAAAAAGATGTATTTATTATTTCAAAGGCAGAGAGAGAGAGATCTTTTATCCATTGGAATGCTCCCCAAATGCCCGCAACAGCCGGGACAGGACCAGGCTGAAGCCTGGAGCCAGGAACTCTGTCAGGGTCCCCCATGTGGGTGGGAGGGACCCAAGTTCTTGGGCCATCATCAGCTCCCTCCCGGACGCGTTAACAGGAATCTGGGTTGGGAGTGGAGGTGAGTTTTGATCCCAAGCACTCTGGTAGGGAACGTGGCCATCGGAAGCAGCAGCTAAACCTCTTGTGTCACCAAGTATTCTGCCACATAGTAACTCACTGAAACCTAACAGCAACCCCACAGCAGAAGTTATGGTTATTATTCCATTTTATAGAGCCTCGGGGAGGTTAGGTAACCTAGCCAAGATCCCACAGTAGGCCAGGTGTGAAGACTGATTAGAGGGGGAAGAAGGTGAGACCAGAGCCGGGTGAGGCCGGCTCCTGTCTGGGTTCTGTGGGGGCGAAGGCGCCGGGCAGCATCAGGAACTGTGGGTGAAGCTGAGAAGTCAGCAAGGCCATGCTGTCTGTGGGGTCCAGGGGACTCCCAGGAAGGGAAGCTGGAGTGGGCTGGGCTGGAGGAGAGGTTCCAGCCCTGGGACACCCGAGAGGTCTGTCCCAAGAAGCTGGTGTAGAGAGGATGGGAGGAGAACCTAGGAGAGGAGCTTGGGGGGCAATGGCCCAGGGGACTCTGGGAAGGGGGAGTGGAATCAGGCAAGACAGGACTGGAGGGGCCAGGGCAAGAGGGGCTGAGAAAAGGGCGTGGCTGCCAGTGCAGGGGCCCTGAGAGGAAGATGTCCATGAGTGCAGGGCCATACCCCATGGGCTGGGCAGTGTGTCTGGCGGAGGATGCACAGGCTGGTCTGGATGGGAGAGGGCACCGCAGGCAGCTCCAGTGCCCAGAAGGCTGCAGGAGGACACTGTTCACTGATGGACAGAGCTCAGGAATAGGTGTGTCGGGGGGTGAACTCCAAGGGGCCCAGAAGTAGCAGGGCAGCCTCAGTCCAAAGAGAGGGAGTTGGGGAGGGAGTCTCTGCCCTCACTGCTTCCCCAGTCCTGCTCCCCTGGAGCTGAGAGATGGAGCCAAGACCCACTGATACTTTTCCTACCTTTTTTTTTTTAAGATTTATTTATTTATTTATTATTTGAAAGTCAGAGTTACACAGAGAGAAGGAGAGACAGAGAGATAGAGATCTTCCATCTGCTGGTTCACTTCCCAAATAGCCTCAATGACCAGGGCTGGGCCAGGCCAAAGCCAGGAGCCAGGAGCTTCTTCCTGGTTTCCCACATGGGGTCAGGGGCCCAAGCACTCGGGCTATCCTCTGCTGCTTTCCCAGGTGCATTAACAGGGAGCTGGATCAGAAGTGGAGCAGCCAGGACTCAAACCAGTGCCCACATGGGATACTGGCACTGCAGAAGGCAGCTTAACCTGCTGTGCCACAGCACAAGCTCCTTTCTAACCTTGACCTTCACCCTAGACCCACCCCATCTATCCTCAGGGCCAGTATTTGGATTACTAAACTGAGAGGGCCCAGGCTCCACACTTGGATGCTGGCTGGCAGAGGACCACACACTGGAGCATGTTCAGGAGACCTCTGCAGGGCCAGTTGCTGGGCACACAGATGCACAGGCCGGCAGCTGGTAGCTATTAATTGCACAATAACTTATGTCTGAACTAGGACCAGGCTGAAAGCCCCATAAGAGCAGAAACCACGTGGGGTTTAGTCGCTGT